TTTGGCAGGGTATAGCATTTAGAAAAAGACATCCAATTCTGATGGGAAATCTCCAAATCCCTCGGTAATCTGTTCCATCGGCTCAGGACCATCGCCTTCAAAAAGCTGTATCTTCTTTCCAGTTTGAATTTTTCTAGCTTCCATCCTCCAGCCACTGGATTGCCTTAGGCCATTGTCTGCCAGGCTAAAGTTTCAAAGCAGGAGACTACGCTGATTTACTCCAGCTGAGAATATGGCCCTAAATGCATCAGTAGCGTCTTGACCCTGCGTTTGTACATGGACAATTGGCAAATGGAAAAAGGCAAAATAAACTGACCACGTTATGTGCTCCAAACCTTTTGCCCGGCTCTGTTCTTGTTAGCCATGAGTAAGCTAGATTCCACTGTGGCTTATGCATCATCAGTACAACCTTGAGCTGTCACGACGGATGATACCATTAAAAAAACCCATCTTTAAGCAGATCTTAGCTGAAGTGGTTGATAACCACACAAATTCACATTAGAAATAAGGCACACATTTTTTAACAGTGAGGGTAATTGATCACTGGAGCAAACTACCCAAGGAAGTGATGGATTTTCCATCTCTTGAGATTTTCAAATCCAGACTGGAGTCATAGCTCCTAAGGTGAGAAGGAACCACTGTGACCATCTAGTTTAACCTCCTGTATAGCACTGGCCAGAGAACGGCCCCAAAATAATTGGATGTTTTTCTAAAAGATCTGCTCTAGGAATTATTTTGGGGCCGTTCTCAGGCCTGTGCTATACAGGAGGTCAGATTAGATCATCACAATGATCCCTTCTGGCCTTCGAATCTTTGAGTTTTTGTTTGAACTGGAACTGATCTCTTAGAAAAGCACCCAGTCTTGATTTAAAAATTGCCAGTGATGGAGAATCGACCACCACCCTTGGTAAATTGTTCCATCGGTGAATTACACTCACTGTTAAAAACATGGTGTCAAGTATCAGAGGGGTAGCCGTGTTAGGTTGGATCTGTAAAAAGCAACAGAGGGTCCTGTGGCACCTTTAAGACTAACAGATGTATTGGAGCATAAGCTTTCGTGGGTGAATGCCCACTTCATCGGATGCATGTAATCATGCATGTAATCATGCATCCGACGAGGTGGGCATTCACCCACGAAAGCTTATGCTCCAATACATCTGTTAGTCTTAAAGGTGCCACGGGACTCTCTGCTGTTAAAAACATGTATACCTTATTTCCCATCTGAATTTGTCTAGCTTCAACTTCCAACTATTGGATCTTGTTTGACCTTGTTTGTCTTCTAGGTAAGTATTGACAGGGATCAAGTCATCCCTCAACAGTCTCTTTGTTAAGCGAAATAGATTGCGCTCCTTGACTCATGTTTTCCAATCCTTTAATCATTCTCATGGCTCTTCTTTGAACCCTCTCCAGTTTATAAAGATGCTCTTTGAATTATCGGCATGAGAACTGGACACAGTCGATCAGCAAGAATCACACCAATGTCAAATACTGAGTAAACAAATTTCTTCCCTCCTACTCAAATTCCCCTGTTTATACATCCCAGGATGCCTTTCTGGAAGATGCTTTAGCCGGACACCAGTTATTGGAATTAATGCATGGGTAACTGGGTGAAATTCTCTGGCCTGCGTTATGTAGGCAGTCTGACTGGCTGACCTAAGGGTTCTCTCTGGCCTTAAAACCATCTGTGAATCTGTGCCCCCTATCTGGTGCAGTCATTTACCTGAGACCAAAGTGTGCAGAATAACCACTTTGGGAATATTTTACATTCCCCTTGCACAAGGCAACATGTGGCTAAGACGAGTTAGCCCCATGGAGACCAATCACAGTGGAACTTCCCCAGGGCTATTATAACCGGAGTCTAACTGCAATTTCAGACAAGAAACTTTTAATAGCCCCTGATGTAGCTAATTTGCTGGCTGCTTCTCTGGGAGGCTCCAAAGGCCTCGCTCATCCCCTTGATGTTTATTTACGCTTCCCATCATGAGATGGCTGGGACGACTCGTGTTTTAATAAATCCCGGTGCAAGTGGCTGCAATCTTTCAGCATTGTTCCTGGTGTGCCAGTGGGCCAGTCCCCCCAGGGCAAACATCTCTGCGCAGAGAAGTTTGATGCTATGCCAGAGAGATGATGAAATCCAAACACTCTCCTTTCCAAATGGCTATTCTCAGAAAGCTGGGGCTTGGGTCAAGGTGGGTTTAAGCTGCGCTATTGTGAATCGAAGACGTGTATGAAAGGACCAGGTGGGAGTGACTCGGTGGAAAATATCTAGGTCGAGTCAGCTAGGTTTTCAAGCCAGCTCTTTAGCTGGTGTATGTCAGTGTAGCGCCTTTCGCTTCAATGGAGCTATGGCTGATTTACCCCAGCTGGGATCTGGCCCCATAGAGTGGTGGCCGATTTACACTACCCGGGGACCTGGCCCCTTAATGTTTATAGCAATAAGCAAACAGGTCACGCAATCAGCAAAGGGAACAGAAAGCTACCCAGCTGGGCTTTCACCACCAGTCCTGTGAGCCCTGTGCGTGGAACCTGCCACTTTCACACCCACCCCATCATGTGTATTCCCCTGATCACGGGGAAACTGAGTTGAAGGTGTTCTCATGTTCACCAGAGGCCAGATGGGCCTCCTCCTACATGGCCTCCTGCGCCACGTTAGCTGGGCACCTCATAAACGTTAATGAATTTATCCCACAACAAGCAGGCAGGAAGGATGGGGAAAGTGAGTCATAGGTTGATGGAGTCCCGAGTTGACACAGGGAGAGTGTGGAAGAGCTGGGAACTGAATCCACCTCTCCAGGCCTAGTGTTGTGTCTTAACCAGCAAGAAGGCTTCCTCATGTGTGCAGTGACTCCAGCAGATCTTGAGAGGCATTTTCATAGCTGGGCCTCTATACAGTGTATTCTGTGGCCTGCCTTACTGTTGCTGCTGAGTCGGGATGGTCAGAAATTGGCAATTCCATCCTGCAGGAAATTAGACGTTTCTATTTTCCCCATTCCAAACTGAACGAAAAGCCACAATTTAAGATTTCCCACAGCCGAAAAATTCAGAAAAATTTCAATTCAGAACCATCATTGTGACAGCAGCGAATCATTTCAGTATCGTAAAAATATTTCGTTTCAGTGTCAATTCATTTTGTTTTGACGTTTATATTATAGTAACGCATTAAATATAATAGATTGGATAAACTATGTGGATATATAATATTAAAATATGAATTGTAATAGAATAGCAAAGTTTAAATGAAAGGAATGGAAGCAATACTGACCCCAAAAAAGGTAGGTATAAATATAAGTTTAAAATTAATATTTTATTAGAATATTAATGTTGAAAGAAAATGAAGCAAAATAATAAAAGTTAAAACAGGCGTAAGATTAAAATCAATATTTTAATATAAGTTGAAATGAAATTAATGAGGCACAACCAACGGTGGCCAATTACCCACTGGGCCAATGGGGCCCATGCCCAGGGACAATTGGGGCACCAGAAAAATGGGTGCCCCAGCATCCTGGCCCACTTCACCCACCCAGTGCGCCTGCCGGGAAGCAGGGTTGGGACGTGGGGGCTTGCTCCACTCTGCCCTCCCGGCACTCTAGGAGGCCAAATTCGTGTACCTGATAAGTAGTCACGTTGTAACAATCACCCTGTTGTCTAAAGGCCCTGGCCGGCTCTAGGAGTCTTTACCATTCCACAGTTGAAGCTGGAACAAGCACACATGGGCTGAAAGACGCCTCTCCAAATACTCAGTAAGTGGCTGGTGGTGCATAGCTCCCCTGCTTCTATGAGGCCCCATCTGCAAGCTTTCTGCCCCAGGGAATTCTTGTGCTGAAGCGGCCTTTTATGGGTCCCCCTCCCCAATCTGCTCTTCTGATTAGAGATGGTGTCATGTCAAACATGGCCCCCTATCAGGGCCGGCTCCAGGCACCAGCTAAAGAAGCAGGTGCTTGGGGCAGCCAATAGGAAGGGGCGGCACTTCGGCTGCTATTGGGGCGGCACGTCCGGGGTCTTCAGCAGCAATTTGGTGGCAAGTCCCTCTCGGAGCGAAGGACTTTTTTTTTTTTTTGCCACTTGGGGCGGCAGAAAACCTGGAGCCGGCCCTGCCCCCTATTAAGGTCTTTGGATGTTTAAAGGCAAAATGTTACTGACCCAAAGTCCAATAGAAACAGTCCCAGGATTTTCCTGAATTCCAGTAGAAACAAGCTAAATAAATCCTCCCATGGGCTATTGCAGGAGAAGCATGGAAGGAGCTGTCTGCTGTTTTCATTGCTCAGCTCAAAAACAATGCAGAAAATAAACAGGAGTGCCGGGCTGGGGGGCAGGGCAAGCCCCTGTGCCCTGACCCCATTTCCCCAGCAGGAGTGCGGAGGGAACTGCAGGTGGAAGGGGTAGGGAGCCCCCCCCCCCCACCTTGCTCTGGCCACAGGCCCCACAAAACACTAATCCACCCCTGCCTAAATCTCCCTTGCTGCAATTGAAGTCCATTACTTCTTGTCCTGCCCTTGGTGATCATGGAGAGCAATTGATTCCCATCCTCTTTATCACAGGCGCTTATTGTTTTTCTGCTTTGGGCGTGATCTAGGTACGACATTCACCAGCACACTGCTGCGGCAATGGGCTGGCTATCAAATCTAGAGATACATTTGTAATTGTTGCTACCTACCCAAGCCATATGAAAGAAGATGACCTCATGCCAAAGTGTGTACGTGCTCCCCATTCCTCCCTTCTCTATATACCAGAGTCCCCCATTCCTCCTTCCAGTTTTCCGCTCTTCCCCCAAATCAGTAGGTTTCTGCCTAGAACATTCCCTGAAGTTTAGGAATTGAGCTAATGTGACACTCAGAAGGCGTCACATCCCAGACAGACAATGCCATCGATTTGAGTGTAAGACCTTGCTTGGCTTGGCCAACGAGACGCCAAGCAGTGAGGTATTCTTCACAAAGATGCCAGGAGAGCTTTTGTTAAAGAAATAAGTTATTTTAAAATTACCGGGTTGCTAGCACCTAGATGGGAGCTGTCCATACACAGAGAGGGAGACAGGCCCTTCCCCAGAGAGTTTAGAGTCTAAATAAAAGATGGGAATAGAAATATGGGAACAGAAAGAACCCAAGTCTCATAAGCCAACACAATCCTGGGAGACATAAACAGTGGAATATCAAGCAGGAGTAGAGAGGGTATTTTGCCTCTGGATTTGGCACTGGTGCAACCACTGCTGGAAACCTGTGTCCAGTTCTGGTGCCCAAATTGGAGAGAGGTCAGAGAAGAGCCACGAGAATGACTAAAGGGTTAGAAAAACTGCCTTATAGACTCCAGGCACGCAATCTAGTTAGCTTAACGAAGAGAAGGTTGAGGAGTGACTTGATCCCAGTCTGTAAGTAGCTACATGGGGAACAAACATTTAATAATGGGATCTTCAGTCTAGGAGAGGAAGATCTAACATGATCCAATGGGTGGAAGTTGAAGCTAAGCAAATTCGGATTGGAAATAAGGTGCAAATCAGGGGTTCTCCAACTAGGGGTCCGGACCTCACAGGGGGGTCACGAGGTTATTACATGGAGGGTTGTGAGCGGTCAGCCTCCACCCCAAGCCCTGCTTTGCCTCCAACATTTATAATGGTGTTAAATATATAAACAAGTGTTTTTAATTTATAAGGGGGGCCTCAGAGGCCTGCTGTGTGAAAGGGGTCACCAGTACAATAGTTTGAGAACCGCTGGTATAAATGTTTAACAGTGAGAGTAATTAACTATTAGAACAATTTACCAGGGGTCATGGTAGAATCTCCGGTACTGACAAGGTTTAAATCAAGATCGAATGTTTCATGTTGGGTTTGTTTTTTTAATTGATCTAGTGCCGCAGAATTATTTGGGGGCAGTTCTCTGGCCTGGGTTATGCAGGAGGTCGGACTGGATGAGCACAGTGGTCCCTTCTGGGCTTGGAGTCTATGAATCTCTAATGCCCAATCTACAGTCTATGTGTCAGGCCTTACTGCCTTATCCCTTCACAACACAGAAAGCAGAGCCTGCTCTAGGCCTCAGACGGCAGCTCTCTGTTTCTCTCAGCAGCCCCTGTGCTGTGCATTGGCATATGAACTCACAAAGAGGGTTGATCTGAAATAGGCTGTTGAATCTTTTTTTAATTTCATATAGTTTGTTTTTTCAGAAAAAAATGTGTTGCAGAAAGCTGCCCGCTTTCATCAAAAAACCCTATACCCAAAATATTCAACCAACTGAAATGCCAGCCCAGTGCCTCCTGGGAGTTGTACGTCAGTTACCTCAATTACCCATTCTTCTCCATGAGCCTGGCTCTCCAGTGGACTACATCTCCCATGATGCATCCACCGCTCCCTTTCTCCAAGACAGGATATCATGAAGCATCATGGGAGATGTAGTCCAACCAGGGAGCCTGGTCTATAGAGAAGAATGGGAGCATGAGGCACCTAAACTACAACTCCCATTAGGCACTGTGGTGGCTCAGAAAGAAGAGGGGACTGTGATGCATCATGGGAGATGTAGTCCTACCAAGGAGGCCAGCCTATAGAGGAGACTGGGAGCATGAGGCTCCTGAACTACACCTCCCATGAGAACCTGTGGCAACATTTCCAAATAGAAATATTTCCAATTTTGAATTTTTGCCAAAAAGCTGAAATTCAGCACAGAAAAACAAAACATTTCCCACCAGCTCTACTCACCATCCACCCCCACCCTTGCATGGCAGTAGTGACTGCCACATACAAGGTTGCCAAAGCTCACAGCAGCAGCTTGCAGGCTTCTTGCTAATACCATGAGTGAAGAAATGGCCACCAACTAGCCCTCAGGTCAATAATTCTTTATATTGTGCTAGTGCTTAGGCGTCCAAGTCATGGATCAGGGCCCCATTGTGCTAAGCACTGTACATTAGTTATTAGGTGTATTATGGTAGTGCTAGGCAACATTACGCTAGGTGCTGTACAAACACAGAACAAAGAGATGGGCACTGCCCTGAAGAGCCAACAATCTGCGTATAAGGCAAAAGTCACCAGGTGGAGATAGGCAGACAGGAGGCACAAGGAGACAATATTGGTCCGCATGGTGGGCAGGGAACTCAGCACATCAGCCCCTTACCCGATGTCGAGTTGTTTGTAGGCATGGTGACAAAGGGGAGTTTTAGGGTGGGGTTGGGAGGCAGATAATGAGGTGAGTTTGTGGGGGTTCACAGGGAGCTCCTCCCAAAAGTAACGGGCACCAGGGGAGAAAGCACCACGGGGCTTGTTTGAAAATGTACCAAGGGGATGATGGAGGGTGGGATCACGGGCCGCCTGGAGGTGGGAGCCAACATCTTGAGAGCGAATGAGAGAGGATCAGTCAGGTGGGGATTGGCCTTGAAGGGCCTTGGAAGTAATAGACACAATGCACTCATTGTGAGGAGGGTAAGCGGCACTATCCCTGGGTTATATCAGCGGTACTATCCCTGGAAACCAAAACTGGGCCATTAAGGAACGTTGCTCCAGATCTGATCTAGGCATGGAACTCAGCTATTCCCAGCTCCTAAGCCTGTCCCCACACCGTGACGCCACGCCACCCTTGATCCCAACGGTCTGTGAGATGCTTGGAATCTCTGGAGACGCAGGTCCTTGCAGGTCTGACTCAGCTGAATTTATTGTCAATGTGCTCAGTGCCGCAGAAACTGCAAAGGAAAAAGCTATCTGAAATGTCCTTCCATCCTACCACATCATGACGGTCTGTCAAAGGAAACCTGCACAACACCTTCTAAAGACGAGCCTGGGAGCTTAAATTTGTTACTTTGCTAGACGGTGAAGATCATGAACACAGAGACGCCAGATTTATGGCTCATTTCAACAATCTATAACCTACTCCACCTCCTTCTTTGTCCTCTGACTGCAGCGGTATTAATGGGCCATTCCACCTTGAATGATCTCTGACAATATGTGTAAATTCCTTATCTTAACTCTTCCATCTTGTATTGAGCTGTGACACTCTGAGCACCTTTCCCAGAACTGAAGAAGAGC